TACAACCCACTACACTACCATCTACTCCACTACAACCTACTACACTACAATCTACTACACTACAACCTACTTCACTACAGGCTACTACACTACCATCTACTCCACTACAACCTACTACACTACAATCTACTACACTAGAACCTACTACACTACAACCTACTGCACTACAACCTACTACACTACAATCTACTACGCTACAATCTACTCAACTACAATCTACTCTATTACAATCTACTCCACTACAATCTACTCTATTACAATCTACTACACTACAATCTACTCCACTACAATCTACTCTATTACAATCTACTACACTACAATCTACTCCACTACAATCTACTCTATTACAATCTACTCCACTACAATCTACTCTATTACAATCTACTCCACTACAATCTACTCTATTACAACCTACTCCACTACAATCTACTCCACTACAATCTACTCTATTACAATCTACTCCACTACCACCTACTACACTACAATCTACTCCACTACAATCTACTCTATTACAATCTACTCCACTACAATCTACTCCACTACAATCTACTACACTACAGCCTACTCCACTACGATCTACTCTATTACAATCTACTCCACTTCAATCTACTACACTACAATCTACTCCACTACAATCTACTACACTACCATCTACTACACTACAATCTACTCCACTACAATCTACTCTATTACAATCTACTCCACTACAATCTACTCTATTACAATCTACTACACTACAATCTACTCCACTACAATCTACTCTATTACAATCTACTCCACTACAATCTACTACACTACCATCTACTACACTACAATCTACTCCACTACAATCTACTCTATGACAATCTACTCCACTACAATCTACTCTATTACAATCTACTACACTACAATCTACTCCACTACAATCTACTCTATTACAATCTACTCCACTACAATCTACTACACTACAACCTACTCCACTACCATCTACTCCACTACAATCTACTCCACTACAATCTACTCCACTACCACCTACTGCACTACAATCTACTACACTACAATCTACTCCACTACAATCTACTCTATTACAATCTACTCCACTACAATCTACTCTGTTACAATCTACTACACTACAATCTACTCCACTACAATCTACTCTATTACAATCTACTCCACTACAATCTACTACACTACAGCCTACTCCACTACGATCTACTCCATTACAATCTACTCCATTATAATCTACTCCATTACAATCTACTACACTACGATCTACTACACTACAATCTACTACACTACGATCTACTACACTACGATCTACTACAATCTACTCCACTACAATCTACACCACTACAATCTACTACACTACCACCTACTCCGGTACCACCTACTCCACTACCACCTACTCCACTACCACCTACTCCACTACCACCTTCTCGAGTACTACCTACAGCACTACCACATACTCCACTACCACCTACTCCACTACCACCTACTCCACTACCACCTACTCCACTACCATCTACTCCACTACCACCTTCTCGAGTACTACCTACAGCACTACCACCTACTCCACTACCACCTTCTCGAGTACTACCTACAGCACTACCACCTACTCCACTACCACCTACTCCACTACCACCTTCTCGAGTACTACCTACAGCACTACCATCTACTCCACTACCACCTACTCCACTACCACCTACTCCACTACCACCTTCTCGAGTACTACCTACAGCACTACCATCTACTCCACTACCATCTACTCCACTACCATCTACTCCACTACCACCTACTCCACTACCACCTACTCCACTACCACCTTCTCGAGTACTACCTACAGCACTACCACCTACTCCACTACCACCTACTCCACTACTACCTACCGCACTACCACCTACTCCACTACCACCTTCTCGAGTACTACCTACAGCACTACCACCTACTCCACTACCACCTACTCCACTACCACCTTCTCGAGTACTACCTACAGCACTACCATCTACTCCACTACCACCTACTCCACTACCACCTACTCCACTACCACCTTCTCGAGTACTACCTACAGCACTACCATCTACTCCACTACCACCTACTCCACTACCACCTACTCCACTACCACCTACTCCACTACTACCTACAGCACTACCACCTACTCCACTACCACCTTCTCGAGTACTACCTACAGCACTACCACCTACTCCACTACCACCTTCTCGAGTACTACCTACAGCACTACCATCTACTCCACTACCACCTACTCCACTACCACCTTCTCGAGTACTACCTACAGCACTACCACCTACTCCACTACCACCTACTCCACTACCACCTTCTCGAGTACTACCTACAGCACTACCACCTACTCCACTACCACCTACTCCACTACCACCTTCTCGAGTACTACCTACAGCACTACCATCTACTCCACTACCACCTACTCCACTACCACCTTCTCGAGTACTACCTACAGCACTACCATCTACTCCACTACCACCTACTCCACTACCACCTACTCCACTACCACCTACTCCACTACCACCTTCTCGAGTACTACCTACAGCACTACCATCTACTCCACTACCATCTACTCCACTACCATCTACTCCACTACCACCTACTCCACTACCACCTACTCCACTACCACCTTCTCGAGTACTACCTACAGCACTACCATCTACTCCACTACCACCTACTCCACTACCACCTTCTCGAGTACTACCTACAGCACTACCACCTACTCCACTACCACCTACTCCACTACCACCTTCTCGAGTACTACCTACAGCACTACCACCTACTCCACTACCACCTACTCCACTACCACCTTCTCGAGTACTACCTACAGCACTACCATCTACTCCACTACCACCTACTCCACTACCACCTTCTCGAGTACTACCTACAGCACTACCATCTACTCCACTACCACCTACTCCACTACTACCTACCGCACTACCACCTACTCCACTACCACCTTCTCGAGTACTACCTACAGCACTACCACCTACTCCACTACCACCTACTCCACTACCACCTTCTCGAGTACTACCTACAGCACTACCATCTACTCCACTACCACCTACTCCACTACCACCTACTCCACTACCACCTTCTCGAGTACTACCTACAGCACTACCATCTACTCCACTACCACCTACTCCACTACCACCTACTCCACTACCACCTACTCCACTACTACCTACAGCACTACCACCTACTCCACTACCACCTTCTCGAGTACTACCTACAGCACTACCACCTACTCCACTACCACCTTCTCGAGTACTACCTACAGCACTACCACCTACTCCACTACCACCTACTCCACTACCACCTTCTCGAGTACTACCTACAGCACTACCATCTACTCCACTACCATCTACTCCACTACCATCTACTCCACTACCACCTACTCCACTACCACCTACTCCACTACCACCTTCTCGAGTACTACCTACAGCACTACCGTCTACTCCACTACCACCTACTCCACTACCACCTACTCCACTACCACCTACTCCACTACCACCTTCTCGAGTACTACCTACAGCACTACCATCTACTCCACTACCATCTACTCCACTACCATCTACTCCACTACCACCTACTCCACTACCACCTTCTCGAGTACTACCTACAGCACTACCATCTACTCCACTACCACCTACTCCACTACCACCTTCTCGAGTACTACCTACAGCACTACCACCTACTCCACTACCACCTGACCGCCTCCGTGGTCTTGTGGTAGAGCGTCCGCCCGGAGAGCGGAAGGTCCAGGGTTCGATCCCGGTCCGCGTCATACAAAAAGACGTTAAAAGATTGTACTTGTTGTTACCCTGTCTGGCGCTCTGCATTAAGGGGCTAAAACAAGGACTGGTCGGCTCGGAGTCAGTATACTGTGTCTGAGTGGGGTATTCATGTTAAACTGCGGCATGGTATCTCAGTGAGCTAGCACTATAAATCGGCATCAGTCCGGACTAGTACAAGCAGCCACACACACACATACACGTGCATGCACGTCGCTATATAAGTGCAATAATCTTGGACGCGACGTTAAACCCAATTTCACCTCACCTTCCACTACCACCTACTCCACTACCACCTTCTCGAGTACTACCTACAGCACTACAACCTATTTCACTACCACCTTCTCGAGTACTACCTACAGGACTACCACCTACTCCACTACCACCTTCTCGAGTACTACCTACAGCACTACCATCTACTCCACTACCACCTACTCCACTACCACCTTCTCGAGTACTACCTACAGCACTACCACCTACTCCACTACCACCTACACCACTACCACCTTCTCGAGTACTACCTACAGCACTACCACCTACTCCACTACCACCTTCTCGAGTACTACCTACAGCACTACCACCTTCTCCACTACCACCTTCTCGAGTACTACCTACCGCACTACCACCTACTCCACTACCACCTTCTCGAGTACTACCTACAGCACTACCACCTTCTCCACTACCACCTTCTCGAGTACTACCTACAGCACTACCACCTACTCCACTACCACCTACTCCACTACCACCTACTCCACTACCACCTACTCCACTACCACCTTCTCGAGTACTACCTACAGCACTACAACCTACTTCACTACAATCTACTACACTACCACCTTCTCCACTACAATCTACTATACTACAATCTACTACACTACCACCTTCTCGAGTACTACCTACAGCACTACCACCTACTCCAGTACAACCTACTCCACTACCACCTACTCCACTACAATCTACTATACTACAATCTACTCCACTACAATCTACTCCACTACAATCTACTCCACTACAACCTACACCACTACAATCTACTTCACTACCACCTACTCCAGTACAACCTACTCCACTACCACCTACTCCACTACCACCTTCTCGAGTACTACCTACAGCACTACAACCTATTTCACTACAATCTACTCCAGTACAACCTTCTCCAGTACAATTTCCAACACAATTGTCTCCAGTACAAATGATCCTATGTTTCAGGAAAAGTTTACAAATTGCGACACAACTAGAAGACAAGGCTCTGGAAGCACAGGCTTGCTACAGCCTAGGGAACACGTACACCTTGCTGCGTGACTATGAAAAGGCCATTGAGTACCACATGAGGCATCTACGCATTGCTCAAGAATTACACGACCGAGTCGGGGAGGGGCGTGCATGCTGGAGCCTGGGCAATGCCCACTCAGCCTTAGGTGAACATGAGGCAGCACTCAAGTTTGCCACTAAACACCTGGACATCTCTAGAGAGGTGAGTTGTCAGCTTACCTGAACATATCTTAGAGAGGTGAGTTGTCAGCTTACCTGGACATATCTGAGAGAGGTGAGTTGTCCGCTTACCTGAACATATCTTAGAGAGGTGAGTTGTCAGCTTACCTGGACATATCTTAGAGAGGTGAGTTGTCAGCTTACCTGAACATATCTGAGAGAGGTGAGTTGTCCGCTTACCTGAACATATCTGTAGCGTTGAGTTGTCAGCTTACCTGAACATATCTAGAGAGGTGAGTTGTCAGCTTACCTGGACATCTCTAGAGAGGTGAGTTGTCAGCTTACCTGGACATATCTGTAGCGTTGAGTTGTTAGCTCACCTGAACATATCTGCAGCGTTGAGTTGTTACCTTACCTGAACATATCTAGAGAGGTGAGTTCTCAGCTCACCTGAACATATCTAGAGAGGTGAGTTGTTAGCTCACATGAACATTTCTGTAGCGTTGAGTTGTCAGCTTACCTGGACATCTATAGAGAGGTCAGTTGTTAACTTACCTGAACATATCTAGAGAGGTGAGTTGTCATCTTACCTGAACATATCTGAGAGAGGTGAGTTGTCAGCTCACCTGAACATATCTAGAGAGGTGAGTTGTTAGCTCACATGAACATATCTGCAGCGTTGAGTTGTCAGCTTACCTGGACATCTATAGAGAGGTCAGTTGTTAACTTACCTGAACATATCTAGAGAGGTGAGTTGTCATCTTACCTGAACATATCTGAGAGAGGTGAGTTGTCAGCTCACCTGAACATATCTAGAGAGGTGAGTTGTTAGCTCACATGAACATATCTGCAGCGTTGAGTTGTCAGCTTACCTGGACATCTATAGAGAGGTCAGTTGTTAACTTACCTGAACATATCTAGAGAGGTCAGTTGTTAACTTACCTGAACATATCTAGAGAGGTCAGTTGTTAGCTCACCTGAACATATCTGCAGCGTTGAGTTGTAAGCTTACCTGGACATCTCTAGAGAGGTGAGTTGTTAGCTCACCTGAACATATCTGCAGCGTTGAGTTGTAAGCTTACCTGGACATCTCTAGAGAGGTCAGTTGTTAGCTCGTCCCTATATAAATGCAATAATCTTGGATGCAACGTTAAACCCCTTTTCACCTCACCTCACCCAATTGTGTGGATCGATGCTCATGATGTCAATCACTGGATTGTCTGATCCAGTCTTGATTATTTATATTGCTGTGATATAGCTTGAATATTGCTGAATGCGGTGTAAAAAAACAAAAACAAACAGACATATTCAATGTTGTTTTTAGATTGGAGATGAAACAGGACAGATGACCGCAAAGATGAACCTTGTTGACCTCCGCTCTGCTCTGGGAATGAGAGATCACAGCAAGGAGAACATTATCAGGTAACACTACACACTGACAGACCACAGCTAGGAAAACATACACAGGTAACACTACACACTGACAGACCACAGCAAGGAGATCATTATCAGGTAACACTACACAATGACAGACCACAGCAAGGAGAACATACACAGGTAACACTACACACTGACAGACCACAGCAAGGAGAACACACACAGGTAACACTACACACTGACAGACCACAGCAAGAAGAACATACACAGGTAACACTACACTCTGACAGACCACAGCAAGGAGAACATACACAGGTAACACTACACACTGACAGACCACAGCAAGGAGAACATACACAGGTAACACTACACACTGACAGACCACAGCAAGGAGAACATACACAGGTAACACTACACACTGACAGACCACAGCAAGGAGAACATACACAGGTAACACTACACAATGACATACCACAGCAAGGAGAACATACACAGGTAACACTACACACTGACAGACCACAGCAAGGAAAACATACACAGGTAACACTACACACTGACAGACCACAGCAAGGAGAACATACACAGGTAACACTACACACTGACAGACCACAGCAAGGAGAACATACACAGGTAACACTACACTCTGACAGACCACAGCAAGGAGAACATACACAGGGAACACTACACTCTGACAGACCACAGCAAGGAGAACACACACAGGTAACACTACACAATGACAGACCACAGCAAGGAGAACATACACAGGTAACACTACACACTGACAGACCACAGCAAGGAGAACATACACAGGTAACACTACACACTGACAGACCACAGCAAGGAGAACATACACAGGTAACACTACACACTGACAGACCACAGCAAGGAGAACATACACAGGTAACACTACACACTGACAGACCACAGCAAGGAGAACATACACAGGTAACACTACACACTGACAGACCACAGCAAGGAGAACATACACAGGTAACACTACACTCTGACAGACCACAGCAAGGAGAACATACACAGGTAACACTACACACTGACAGACCACAGCAAGGAGAACATACACAGGTAACACTACACACTGACAGACCACAGCAAGGAGAACACACACAGGTAACACTACACACTGACAGACAACAGCAAGGAGATCATATACAGGTAACACTACACACTGACAGACCACAGCAAGGAAAACATACACAGGTAACACTACACACTGACAGACCACAGCAAGGAGATCATACACAGGTAACACTACACACTGACAGACCACAGCAAGGAGAACATACACAGGTAACACTACACACTGACAGACCACAGCAAGGAGAACATACACAGGTAACACTACACACTGACAGACCACAGCAAGGAGATCATTATCAGGTAACACTACACACTGACAGACCACAGCAAGGAGATCATACACAGGTAACACTACACACTGACAGACCACAGCAAGGAGAACATACACAGGTAACACTACACACTGACAGACCACAGCAAGGAGAACATACACAGGTAACACTACACACTGACAGACCACAGCAAGGAGATCATTATCAGGTAACAATATACACTGACACAGGGACACTGACTAGTAACACTATGCCTCTAGACACAGGGACACTGACTGCCAACAATATATGTCTTAAGACAGAAAAACTGACTAGTAACACTATTTATTACTTGCCAGTGAAGGGGGGCACGGGTGGCCCAGTTGACTAAAGCGCTGCGATTCACTGTGCAGAGTTGTGTCCCTTGGACACGCCAGAAACCTATGATCGTGGGTTCGAATCCCCGTTAGCCTCGATTATGTTTCTAGGTTTGTCAGCACCATACCCGTGCTCGTGGGTTTCACCGAAGTGGTAAACGTCTGATACCTGCGTCACTTCAGGCTTTCCTCCCACATTAAGCTGACACGCCGTGATATAACTTGTTTATTGTTAAAAGCGGCGTTAAACCCAACTCACTTACTCACTCACTTGCCCGTGAAGAGATCACCCATTTAAAAAACATACAGCTGTATTACATATTGTGTAATACCAAAACGCGTGCTTATGTACTCTCGCCGATGGATCTTGCAACAATATTCCACAAATTACGTCATCGGGTATTGTGAGGTTATTGTAAACTTTGAGGTGCAAGGCTCGTCAGATACCACAACTATTCACTCGTTTCATAAAATTGGTTTTACACGGGAGCTCATTTAGTAAACACTATACCTCTAGACGTGGGGACACTGACTGGTAACACTATACCTCTAGACATGGAGACACTGACTGGTAACACTATACCTCTAGACGTGGGGACACTGACTGGTTACAATATACCTCTAGACATGGAGACACTGACTGGTAACAATATACATCTAGACATGGAGACACTGACCGGTAACAATATACCTCTAGACATGGAGACACTGACTGGTAACGCTATGCCTCTAGACGTGGAGACACTGACTGGTAACACTATACCTCTAGACACGGGGACACTGACTTGTAACAATATACGTCTAGACACGGGGACACTGACTGGTAACACTATGCCTCTAGACGTGGGGACACTGACTGGTAACACTATACCTCTAGACACGGGGACACTGACTTGTAACAATATACCTCTAGACACGGGGACACTGACTGGTAACACTATACCTCTAGACGTGGGGACACTGACTGGTAACACTATACCTCTAGACACGGGGACACTGACTGGTAACACTATGCCTCTAGACGTGGAGACACCGACTGGTAACACTACACCTCTAGACATTGAGACACTGACTGGTAACACTATACCTCTAGACACGGGGACACTGACTGGTAACACTATGCCTCTAGACGTGGGGACACTGACTGGTAACACTATGCCTCTAGACGTGGGGACACTGACTGGTAACACTATACCTCTAGACATTGAGACACTGACTGGTAACGCTATACCTCTAGACATGGAGACACTGACTGGTAACACTATACCTCTAGACGTGGGGACACTGACTGGTAACACTATGCCTCTAGACATGGAGACACCGACTGGTAACACTATACCTCTAGACATGGAGACACCGACTGGTAACACTATACATCTAGACGTGGGGACACTGACTGGTTACACTATACATCTAGACGTGGAGACACCGACTGGTAACACTATACATCTAGACGTGGGGACACTGACTGGTAACACTATACCTCTAGACGTGGAGACACTGACTGGTAACACTATACCTCTAGACGTGGGGACACTGACTGGTAACACTATACCTCTAGACGTGGAGACACCGACTGGTAACACTATGCCTCTAGACGTGGAGACACTGACTGGTAACACTATACCTCTAGACGTGGAGACACCGACTGGTAACACTATACATCTAGACGTGGGGACACTGACTGGTAACACTATACCTCTAGACGTGGGGTGAACATTGTCCGAATGTATTTACCTAACTGATACTGGTACTGATACTGGTTATGTTCTGACAATAGCCTTTTGGTGTTCCAGTTCCCATGGTGTGTTGACGGAGTTGAGGGATGGAGGTGGGAAGGACGTCAGTGACGTGGCTCTAGGTAAGAGAAGAGTCACTTGTTACATGGAACCTACCTGGGCCCACTTGCACAGAACAATCTTAGCGCTAAGATGATCGTAACTCCCATACTTTAACATAGGCTTACAATAGTCGTAGCGCTAAGATCGCTTTGTGCAAGTGGGCCCTGGTCTGTAAACATCTTGTAATGTGGTCTCTATTATAACAGTCACTTCCTACTCATGTTGCTTCTCTGTCTGTGTTCCAGGACGACGCCCAAATCGGGCGCGAAGATTCAGTATGGAGAACATGGAACTGATGAAACTGACACCAGATAAAAACAAGGTAGTTGGCTGGTTGTGTTAACCTGTATTAGTGAGGTAGTTGCTGGTTGTCTTAACCTGTGTTGGCAAGATAGTTGTCTGATTGTGTTAACCTGTGTTAGCAAGGTGTTGACTGATTGTGTTAACCTGTGTTAGCATGGTAGTTGGCTGGTTGTGTTAGCCTGTATTAGTGAGGTAGTTGCTGGTTGTCTTAACCTGTGTTGGCAAGATAGTTGGCTGATTGTGTCAACCTGTGTTAGCAAGGTGTTGACTGATTGTGTTAACCTGTGTTAGCATGGTAGTTGTCCGATTGTGTTAACCTGTGTTAGCAAGATAGTTGACTGATTGTGTTAACCTGTGTTAGCAAGATAGTTGACTGATTGTGTTAACCTGTGTTAGCAAGATAGTTGACTGATTGTGTTAACCTGTGTTAGCAAGGTGTTGACTGATTGTGTTAACCTGTGTTAGCAAGGTAGTTGACTGATTGTGTTAACCTGTGTTAGCAAGGTAGTTGGCTGATTGTGTTAACCTGTGTTAGCAAGGTAGTTGACTGATTGTGTTAACCTGTGTTAGCAAGGTGTTGACTGATTGTGTTAACCTGTGTTAGCAAGGTAGTTGACTGATTGTGTTAACCTGTTAGCAAGGTAGTTGACTGATTGTGTTAACCTGTGTTAGCAAGGTAGTTGACTGATTGTGTTAACCTGTGTTAGCAAGGTAGTTGACTGATTGTGTTAACCTGTGTTAACAAGGTAGTTGACTGATTGTGTTAACCTGTGTTAGCAAGGTAGTTGACTGATTGTGTTAACCTGTGTTAGCATGGTAGTTGACTGATTGTGTTAACCTGTGTTAGCAAGGTAGTTGACTGATTGTGTTAACCTGTGTTAGCAAGGTAGTTGGCTGATTGTGTTAACCTGTGTTAGCAAGGTAGTTGACTGATTGTGTTAACCTGTGTTAGCAAGATAGTTGACTGATTGTGTTAACCTGTGTTAGCATGGTAGCTGTCCGATTGTGTTAACCTGTGTTAGCATGGTAGTTGACTGATTGTGTTAACCTGTTGTAGCATGGTAGTTGACTGATTGTGTTAACCTGTGTTAGCATGGTAGTTGACTGATTGTGTTAACCTGTGTTAGCAAGGTAGTTGACTGATTGTGTTAACCTGTGTTAGCAAGGTGTTGACTGATTGTGTTAACCTGTGTTAGCAAGGTAGTTGACTGATTGTGTTAACCTGTGTTAGCATGGTAGTTGACTGATTGTGTTAACCTGTGTTAGCAAGGTAGTTGACTGATTGTGTTAACCTGTGTTAGCAAGGTAGTTGACTGATTGTGTTAACCTCAGTGGCTATTAGTTTAAACAACAGGTGGAGAAGGGACAGGGCTGAATATTGGTTGCTTCATTTAACTGAATAAGTTTACCGCATGTGCTGCCAAGTGCATAATTAATGTAGGTTTGTTTGTCAGATTGGCAGGAACATGGCAGAAGTTCTTTAATCATTGTCACATGACTTCTGTCACACAGCAGCAGAATGACACTAAGGGTGGGGGAGGTGCACGTCCCAAGGTGCAGAAGTCCGCCAGCATCGCCACAGAGATGTCCATGGACACGCCCAGGCAAAAAGCAGCCATTGTTCGACCCAAAACTGCCGATTCTGCTCTCCAGGAAGAAAAGGTAAAAATACACAAGTTGTCTGGTTAACTGTCATGTAGGTGTAAACACTAGGTGTCATGTGATCTAGTGTCTTGACTCTGTGTATTCCTGGTTACTTGACAGTGTGAATATCTGATGGCTTAAAAGTTTAGATGCCTGGTGTCCTGAAGGTGTGACCACCTGGTGTCCTGAAGGTATGACCACCCAGTGTCCTGAAGGTATGACCACCCAGTGTCCTGAAGGTGTTACCACCCAGTGTTCTGAAGGTGTGACCACCCTGTGTCCTGAAGGTGTTACCACCCAGTGTCCTGAAGGTGTGACCACCTGGTGTCCTGAAGGTATGACCACCCTGTGTTTTGAAGGTGTTACCACCTGGTGTCCTGAAGGTGTGACCACCCAGTGTTCTGAAGGTGTGACCACCCAGTGTCCTGAAGGTGTGACCACCCTGTGTCCTGAAGGTGTTACCACCTGGTGTCCTGAAGGTGTGACCACCCAGTGTCCTGAAGGTATGACCACCCAGTGTCCTGAAGGTGTGACCACCCGGTGTCCTGAAGGTGTTACCACCCAGTGTCCTGAAGGTGTGACCACCCAGTGTCCTGAAGGTGTGACCACCCTGTGTCCTGAAGGTGTTACCACCCAGTGTCCTGAAGGTGTGACCACCCAGTGTCCTGAAGCTGTGACCACCCAGTGTCCTGAAGGTGTGACCACCCAGTGTCCTGAAGGTGTGACGACCCAGTGTCCTGAAGGTGTGACCACCTGGTGTCCTGAAGGTGTAACCACCTGGTGTCCTGAAGGTGTGACCACCTAGTGTCCTGAAGGTGTAACCACCTGGTGTCCTGAAGGTGTGACCACCCAGTGTTCTGAAGGTGTGACCACCTGGTGTCCTGAAAGTGTGACCACCTGGTGTCCTGAAGGTGTGACCACCCAGTGTCCTGAATGTGTCAACCACCTGGTGTCCTGAAGGTGTGACCACAGTATCACAACTTCACAACCTCCTTGTTCCCTCATTCGCGCCCTCACTCTCTCTCTCAATCACTCTCTTTCCTTTATTGATGTGTTTCAGGACGAGGCTTCTGATGATGACAACTTCTTTGATCTCCTGAGTCGGTTCCAGAGTCGCAGGATCGATGACCAGAGATGTTCGTTTCGACTGTCCGAACCGACACCTGCCACCCCTCCTCCAACCGCCACCCCACCTCAACCCAATGGTCAGACTCTCTCCTCACAAGGTGAGGACATATATCTCTACTACAAAACAGAGCATCTTTTTCAACTGGACACTTGAATTATGTGTTTGGAAGGATTTTAGTTCCTCTGTTGCTGTAATCAGTTCTCTCAACCACGTGCTTATGACATATGTTGTTATGATTTATATCTGATACACCTACCATGTTCCCCTGGGCCCGATTCAACAAAGTGTTCTTAGGGCTATGACTCGTTAGCCAGTGTTAAAGCATGGGACGTACGATCACTTTAGCTGTACGACTATACTAAGCCAATGTTAAAGCATGGGAGTTACGATCACCCTTAGCACTATGACTATTGTAAGCCAGTATTAAAGTATAGGAGTTAGGATCACCCTTAGCGCTATGACTATTGTAAGCCAGTATTAAAGTATAGGAGTTAGGATCACCCTTCGCGCTATGACTATCGTAAGCCAGTATTAAAGTATAGGAGTTAGGATCACCCTTAGCAATATGACTATTGTAAGCCAGTATTAAAGTATAGGAGTTAGGATCACCCTTAGCGCTCTGACTATCGTAAGCCAGTATTAAAGTATAGGAGTTAGGATCACCCTTAGCAATATGACTATCGTAAGCCAGTATTAAAGTATAGGAGTTAGGATCACCCTTAGCGCTCTGACTATCGTAAGCCAGTATTAAAGTATAGGAGTTAGGATCACCCTTAGCGCTATGACTATCTTAAGCCAGTATAAAGGTATAGGAGTTAGGATCACCCTTAGCAATATGACTATTGTAAGCCAGTATTAAAGTATAGGAGTTAGGATCACCCTTAGCGCTCTGACTATCGTAAGCCAGTATTAAAGTATAGGAGTTAGGATCACCCTTAGCAATATGACTATCATAAGCCAGTATTAAAGTATAGGAGTTAGGATCACCCTTAGCGCTCTGACTATCGTAAGCCAGTATTAAAGTATAGGAGTTAGGATCACCCTTAGCGCTATGACTATCGTAAGCCAGTATAAAGGTATAGGAGTTAGGATCACCCTTAGCAATATGACTATTGTAAGCCAGTATTAAAGTATAGGAGTTAGGATCACCCTTAGCGCTATGACTATTGTAAGCCAGTATTAAAGTATAGGAGTTAGGATCACCCTTAGCGCTTTGACTATCGTAAGCCAGTGTTAAAGTATAGGAGTTAGGATCACCCTTAGCAATATGACTATCGTAAGCCAGTATTAAAGTATAGGAGTTAGGATCACCCTTAGCAATATGACTATCGTAAGCCAGTATTAAAGTATAGGAGTTAGAATCACCCTTAGCGCTATGACTATCGTAAGCCAGTATCAAAGTATAGGAGTAAGGATCACCCTTAGCAATATGACTATCGTAAGCCAGTATCAAAGTATAGGAGTAAGGATCACCCTTAGCAATATGACTATCGTAAGCCAGTATCAAAGTATAGGAGTTAGGATCACCCTTAGCAATATGACTATCATAAGCCAGTATTAAAGTATAGGAGTTAGAATCACCCTTAGCGCTATGACTATTGTAAGCCAGTATTAAAGTGTAGGAGTTACGATCACCCTTAGCACTATGACTATCGTAAGCCAGTATTAAAGTATAGGAGTTAGAATCACCCTTAGCGCTATGACTATTGTAAGCCAGTATTAAAGTGTAGGAGTTACGATCACCCTTAGCACTATGACTATCGTAAGCCAGTATTAAAGTATAGGAGTTAGGATCACCCTTAGCGCTATGACTATCATAAGCCAGTGTTAAAGTACGGGACTTACAGGCTTACGATGGTCATTGCGCTAAGGGTGGTCGTGTTAAAGTATGAAAGTGACGATCATCTTGGTGCCATTATATTACTTTATCCAAGATTTCATTCAATTTTGTTGACATTAATTTAAGTATTTTTTTAAGTAAAGCACCCATAGACACATTCACACGTAATGTTAATCTGTGCATATACAACTTTGTCCAGCAAACAGTACACAAATACCATTGAACTTGGAAATCACCATGTCTGGTGTTGTTTTATCGTAAGTTTCATGTTTGCATTTACATATATAAACACACAAGCACACATATAAACTCCAACAGCCTCCATGACCGCAACATGAGATGCCAAGTAAAGCAGTGCACATGTAAAGGGAAGTAACTGCACGCTATATTCTTTTGTTTGTAAACAAACCCACTTATTCTGAAATTCCGAAATAAAAACAAACAAACGAACTGCAAGCCTTTCGGTGTGCTTAAATATGGCCGTGCAGGGCTTTGATGACAGCACGTAGAGCATATATACCCAAATGGAAATAGTTTTTCATGTTTTTGATCATTTTCTAACAAAAAGATCAGTTTATCTACTTGTGTTGACTTGACATGGCCAGTGTGACGCTGTGACCGAGGTTCTCAGCTGGCAGGTTACTATCTGGCAGGAACTGTTGTCAGAATACAACTTACACAAACATTTTTTGCTTGGATTCCTACAAAGAAACAAGGATCATGTGTGATCCTGCTGTGCTTCAAACAACTACCGGTAATATTCAAATATGGCATCATAAACCAAGACTTTCAAATTCCTACAGCAGGAGTTGTATCGCAGTGTCGACACTAACATTGGTCATCTAGTCCAAGTCTAGCATATTTTTTTATTGTCCAGTAAAATTCACTAAATGCTGGTCCGGTGGTTTAGTGTTATTTTGGGCTTGAACAAAGTAATTTAAGTTTGTACAACTTTTGAAATCAGTAACTCTCAGCAAAACCAGCGTGGTACAGTGGTTGCCTTCTTGGCATGTTTTTCATTGTAATTGCGCAACAAAGTAATACCTTTTCAAAACCATTTTGGTCAGGACCATTGTGTCTAGTAGAGATCCAATAGGACCAGTACATGTTTCTATGAGCTGGTTCATCAGACCACTGACAAATCTGACTGTGTCAATCAAAGTCCCAATACTGTATAATTACATGCGCTGCAATTTTAAGCTCAAGACTGGATATTGTTTACAAATTCCGGTCTTCATGTCATTTACTGTTTACTTGGATCACTTTGTCCATGTGATGTACATGCTTAAATCCACTGGGGTTATTCTATTATGTAGAACCTGGAAATGGAAATACAAATATAACATAAATTATAAAAAACAAGTTTGCAACTAGTAATGTTCTTGAATGTAATTGGATTAAGATGAAGATTAAAGATCGGGGTTACAATAGGTCTTCAGTAACCCATTCTTGGTGTAAATATTGACTATGCTTGTAATAAGAGGCGACCAATTTGGTCGGGTGGTCAGACTCGCTGACTTGGTTGATGCATGTCATCGTATCCATATTGCGTAAGCCGATGCTTATGTCAATCACTAGATTGTCTGGTCCAGACTCGATTGTTTACAGACCGCTATAATATAGCTGGAATATTGCTTAGTGCGGCGTTAAACAACAAACAAATAAACACTCATCCCTAAAAGCGTGTACACAATATCTTGAGCATTTTTAATCGGAATCCAGTTTTGCATGTAATGCAGTTGTCTTTTTAGTTGTTACAGCAATGTTCTGCCACATGATGTGAACTTTCCCATTGCAGTTGCCTCTCCTGGCACAGATGACTTCCTGGACATGGTGGCTGGCATCCAGGGTTCACGCATGAATGATCAGCGAGCTGAGTGTCCCTCCTTCCCCGGGCTCAGTTCACAGGCCGTCATTGGTCAGCTGCTTCAGCAGAAGTCGGATGACACTGTCCCGGACGATAACTTCTTCGAGATGCTGATGAGATGCCAGGTGAGACCTGTCTTTTATTCCTGTGTTGAAGCAGCTGCATTCAGGTTTTTTCTGAATAGGTCATCCAATAGGTCAAAGCCTGAAGAAAAGTTTCTTTTAACTCTGACTCAAGAAGCATTTAGTCTGTCAATGAAACTTGGTACATGTCAGCCTTTGGACATGGCCGTGATCTGAGGAGACCTACATATAAGGTCAAAGTGAAAGTTATTTCAAATGTGTGTTTGACATTTTCAGTAAAATGCCTTTCTCTGCAGACTTTTTTTGAAAAGGTTTCATGATGTAATGATTATATTATTTGAATACCTTTGTACAAGAGTTGACAATATTTTGATATTAGAAGGTTTCTTTGAATTCCACCAAGGGACATCATGGTTTGTATGCTGGATAACCTTTTGGGAACTTCTTGATATACCTTATATTCAAATTCTCTCTCAAGGTCATACACAAATGCAGTATGCTCAAGAAAAGTAAAGAACATTTCTCTGTAATAGGATGAAATTTGGCATGTATCATCCTTATTGTAGGGCATTGATTTGGGAATCTTTTCAATGACCTTTATTGAAGATCAAGGTCACTGGAATGGTCATATGTGAGGTAGTTCGGCTTCTTGTGTCCTCTGAGCCAATTCTCAGTGTATGTAGAAGTATGTCTGATGTTTTCAACAAAAAAACATCAAGTATGTGTTTGGCTGAAATTGAAGGTCAAGGTCATAAAGACAAAAGTGCTAGTAATATCTTGTCAATTTGTTGAAGCTGCTCGAGAAATCTGACATTCTGCTTTATGGTTGCACTGTGTATGGCATGTGTATGTGCTTCTTCCTAGGATGTTCAAGAAGAGCATATCATTTTCATATTAATATTGTTAAAGACTTGGGATTTTTCCTTTAAAGTTGTCTTTTGATACATGTTTTCCTAAACCCTAACTGTAATCACACAGACATGCCAAGTGAGACATGTCTGATACCTGTAATTATATAGAGAGACCAGGTGAGACATGTCTGATACCTGTAATTACATAGAGAGACCAGGTGAGACATGTCTGATACCTGTAATTACATTGAGACCAGGTGAGACATGTCTGATACCTGTAATTACATAGAGAGGCCAGGTGAGACATATCTGTGATACCTGTAATTACATAGAGAGGCCAGGTGAGACATTATCTGTGATAACAGTAATTACATCGAGAGGCAAGGTGAGACATATCTGTGATAACTGTAATTACATAGAGAGACCAGGTGAGACATATCTGTGATAACTGTAATTACATAGAGAGACCAGATGAGATATTATCTGTGATAACTGTTATTACATCGAGAGGCAAGGTGAGACATATCTGTGATAACTGTAATTACATAGAGAGACCAGATGAGATATTATCTGTGATAACTGTAATTACATAGAGAGACCAGGTGAGACATATCTGTGATAACTGTAATTACATCGAGAGGCAAGGTGAGACATATCTGTGATAACTGTAATTACATTGAGAGACCAGGTGAGACATATCTGTGATAACTGTAATTACATAGAGAGACCAGATGAGATATTATCTGTGATAACTGTAATTACATCGAGAGGCAAGGTGAGACATATCTGTGATAACTGTAATTACATAGAGAGACCAGATGAGATATTATCTGTGATAACTGTAATTACATAGAGAGACCAGGTGAGACATATCTGTGATAACTGTAATTACATCGAGAGGCAAGGTGAGACATATCTGTGATAACTGTAATTACATTGAGAGACCAGGTGAGACATATCTGTGATAACTGTAATTACATAGAGAGACCAGGTGAGACATATCTGTGATAACTGTAATTACATAGAGATGCCATGTGAGACATATCTATGATAACTGTAATTACATAGAGAGACCAGGTGAGACATATCTGTGATAACTGTAATTACATAGAGAGGCAAGGTGAGACATATCTGTGATAACTGTAATTACATTGAGAGACCAGGTGAGACATATCTGTGATAACTGTAATTACATAGAGAGACCAGGTGAGACATATCTGTGATAACTGTAATTACATAGAGAGACCAGATGAGACATATCTGTGATAACTGTAATTACATAGAGAGACCAGGTGAGACATATCTGTGATAACTGTAATTACATAGAGAGACCAGGTGAGACATATCTGTGATAACTGTAATTACATCGAGAGGCAAGGTGAGACATATCTGTGATAACTGTAATTACATTGAGAGACCAGGTGAGACATATCTGTGATAACTGTAATTACATAGAGAGACCAGGTGAGACATATCTGTGATAACTGTAATTACATAGAGAGACCAGATGAGACATATCTGTGATAACTGTAATTACATAGAGAGACCAGGTGAGACATATCTGTGATAACTGTAATTACATAGAGAGACCAGGTGAGACATATCTGTGATAACTGTAATTACATTGAGAGACCAGGTGAGACATATCTGTGATAACTGTAATTACATAGAGAGACCAGGTGAGACATATCTGTGATAACTGTAATTACATAGAGAGACCAGATGAGACATATCTGTGATAACTGTAATTACATAGAGAGACCAGATGAGACATATCTGTGATAACTGTAATTACATAGAGAGACCAGGTGAGACATATCTGTGATAACTGTAATTACATAGAGAGGCCAGGTGAGACATATCTGTGTTACCTGTAAGTACATAGAGATGCCATGTGAGACATGTCTTATACCTGTAATTACATAGAGAGACCAGGTGAGACATATCCGTGTTACCTGTAATTACATAGAGATGCCAAGTGAGACATGTATGTGTCTTTAAAAACTCTACTAGTCTAGGGCAATGTATGACATGGGCAGAGAAATAAAACCTCATATCTGTACTGCAGGAAATGTGAATGGCAACATTGGATTAGGAACATTATGTTTATGGCTAAACATGTCGTGCATTACAGGTGAAATGTTTGTAGGCTCCCCATTACTAATGTATGTGGTTAGGGTTAAGGTTGAGTGGGAACAGGATTACTAATGCATGTGTGTGTACCTCTATCAACAGGCATCTCGCTTGGAGGACCAGAGGAGTGCTCTGCCCCAGCGGCCAGCTGCTCCCACTGTGCCCGACGAAGACTTCTTCAACCTCATCCAGCGTGTGCAGTCAAGTCGACTGGAGGAGCAACGCACGTCCATGCCGGCGGACTCAAAACCAAACTCAAACTCATCCAGGAAAAGTAAGAAGAAGTGACCGAGTTGAAGGTTGTGTGTGGGACTGCAAGGCTGGCTCCTGCAGTTGGCGGTCATGCTCAACACTGCCTCGAGGCACCTGAACACATCAGCCATTGCCGGACAGTTTACAAGAGACAAATATGTCCTAGCCTGCCTCATTGTGTGCCAGTTAACAAACAGATGTGCATATTGTACCCATAAACAATTTGACTACATGTCGTTTTCTGCCAGCTGAACATATTATCTGCAATCTTAGCATACAGTGTTACCTTACATGTGGAGTTCAAAAGTCACTTCTGATATACTATGCCATTTATCTCTAGCAGCTTGGTTAGTGGGAGTAAAACATGGCTCAAACAGGTCTGCCCATATACATCTGCTTGTTGCGTTACCTCCCTTAGATGACAGTTACCTCCCTTCTTCAGACAACAAATAGTTACCTCCCCTGCCAGCTGATGAAGATGCTTATTGTATATATCCTGGACATCAATGCTGTGAGAGTCGTGGGTGTTTGCGTGTACTCCACAGCCTTCTGCAGACTTGCTGGTCTGAGCGGTGAGACCTTTCATTGTCCTTCCGGGTGGCTGAGCAGTGTATGGACAGACATATAGCAGTGCCCAAGATATCACTTGTTGCAGGGTATGGATAGACTACCTCCTACAGATTGCCCAAACAGATTTGGGTCTGCAAAGCCAAAGCCATGTTTAACACTGCTTCAAAATATTCAGGAAGCTAATTCTTACGGAAGGTTTAAGATATTCAACAGGACTCACAGCCAGTGATTACCTTTAACTTGAGAAAAAATATGTTTTGCTGTCTATTAATTCAAGACAGTGAAGCACAAGCTCTCTGACTCCTGTGGCAGCACGTGCTCTTTAGGGTAGATATCATCTCACTCACACTGTATGCTGTGGGTTGATATCATCTCACTGACACTGTACACTGCGGGTGGAGACTGTCTCACTGACACTGTATACTGTGGGTTGAGACCCTCTCACTGACATTGTATGCTGTGGGTTGAGACCGTCTCACTGACATTGTATACTGTGGGTTGAGACCGTCTCACTGACACTGTATGCTGTTGGTTGAGACCCTCTCACTGACACTGTATGCTGTGGGTTGAAACTTTCTCTTGACACTGTATGCTGTGGGTTGAGACCCTCTCACCGACACTGTATGCTGTGGGTTGATATCATCTCACTGACACTGTATACTGTGGGTTGAGACCCTCTCACTGACATTGTATGCTGTGGGTTGAGACCGTCTCACTGACATTGTATACTGTGGGTTGAGACCGTCTCACTGACACTGTATACTGTGGGTTGAGACCATCTCACTGACATTGTATGCTGTGGGTTGAGACCGTCTCACTGACACTGTATGCTGTTGGTTGAGACCCTCTCACTGATACTGTATGCTGTGGGTTGAAACTTTCTCTTGACACTGTATGCTGTTGGTTGAGACCCTCTCACTGACACTGTATGCTGTGGGTTGAAACTTTCTCTTGACACTGTATGCTGTGGGTTGAGACCCTCTCACCGACACTGTATGCTGTGGGTTGATATCATCTCACTGACACTGCATACTGTGGGTTGATATCATCTCACTGACACTGTATACTGTGGGTTGATATCATCTCACTGACACTGTATACTGTGGGTTGATATCATCTCACTGACACTGTATACTGTGGGTTGATATCTCACTGACACTGTATACTGTGGGTTGATATCATCTCACTGACACTGTATGCTGTGGGTTGATATCATCAAACTGACACTGTATACTGTGGGTTGATATCATCTCCCTGACACTGTATACTGTGGGTTGATATCATCTCACTGACACTGTATGCTGTGGGTTGAGACTGTCTCACCGACACTGTATGCTGTAGGTTGAGACCCTCTCACTGATATTGTATGCTGTGGGTTGATATCATTTCACTGACACTGTATACTGTGGGTTGATATCATCTCACTGACACTGTATACTGTGGGTTGAGACTGTCTCACCGACACTGTATGCTGTGGGTTGATATCATCTCACTGACACTGTATACTGTGGGTTGATATCATCTCACTGACACTGTATACTGTGGGTTGAGACCCTCTCACCGACACTGTATGCTGTAGGTTGAGACCCTCTCACTGATACTGTATGCTGTGGGTTGATATCATTTCACTGACACTGTATACTGTGGGTTGATATCATCTCACCGACACTGTATGCTGTAGGTTGAGACTGTCTCACTGACACTGTATGCTGTGGGTTGATATCATCTCACTGACACTGTATACTGTGGGTTGATATCATCTCACTAACACTGTATACTGTGGGTTGAGACTGTCTCACTGACACTGTATGCTGTGGGTTGAGACCCTCTCACCGACACTGTATACTGTGGGTTGATATCATCTCACTGACACTGTATACTGTGGGTTGATATCATCTCACTGACACTGTATACTGTGGGTTGAGACTGTCTCACTGACACTGTATGCTGTGGGTTGAGACCCTCTCACTGACACTGTATGCTGTGGGTTGATATCATCTCACTGACACTGCATACTGTGGGTTGAGACTGTCTCACTGACACTGTATGCTGTGGGTTGATATCATCTCACTGACACTGTATACTGTGGGTTGATATCATCTCACCGACACTGTATACTGTGGGTTGATATCATCTCACTGACACTGTATGCTGTGGGTTGATATCATCTCACTGACACTGTATGCTGTGGGTTGAGACTGTATTACAGACACTGTATGCTGTGGGTTGAGACCCTCTCACCGACACTGTATGCTGTGGGTTGAGACCCTCTCACTGACACTGTATACTGTGGGTTGAGACTGTCTCACAGACACTGTATGCTGTAGGTTGAGACCGTCTCACAGACACTGTATGCTGTAGGTTGAGACCGTCTCACAGACACTGTATGCTGTGGGTTGAGACTGTCTCACTGACACTGTATACTGTGGGTTGATATCATCTCACAGACACTGTATGCTGTAGGTTGAGACCATCTCACCGACACTGTATGATGTGGATGTGTATATTGCTAACTGCTATGGACAGGGCTGAAATCCATGTCTGTGATAGCCTCCGTGCAATGATTTCCTGCACATGTGAATGAGTGATGGTCCGAGGTTGCAGTTTGCCTGGCACTGTTGTCTGCAGGGGTGAGAGGGAATGAGTGGAAGGAGGATGTGGAGAGGGGGGCGGAGCTTGCCAGGCTGCAGGTGCTTGCATACAGGACAAGCAGGTGTAAATATGTGTGATGCCTTGCAATTCGTCAAATTTAATGTTGAAACATTTATCATGCATGTAAAGTGCATTACCCAGAGTTTACATTGGCTCAATTAGGAAGATCATTTTTTTAATAAGATTCTATGCTGAAGGTATTTTAAGATATTTGAAGGACTTCCTTTTACTATGAGGGCTGAATGATGTTCTTCATTGTATTTGATTGGGACCAAAAATGTGCTCTACTTTGTACTCACGACACATTGTGCAAACCTGAGTCCTGCCAGAGATGAACAGGTTGGCTAAGTATGGGTTGCCTCCACTTTGTGACCCAGCCTACACTAGGCGCTGCCTCCACTGGGTGACCCAGCCTACACTAAGTACTGGGTGACCCAGCCTACACTAAGTACTGCCTGCATGGGGGAACCAGCCTACACTAGGCACTGCCTCAACTGGGTGACCCAGCCTACACTAAGTACTGCCTGCATGGGTGACCCAGCCTACACTAAGTACTGCCTGCATGGGTGACCCATCTTACACCAACTACTGCCTGCATTGAGTGAACCAGCCTATGCTAAGCACTGCCTGCACTTGGTAAACCAGCCTACACTAAGTACTGAAGGCCTGGCTGTCAATACACCCTATGAAGGCCTGGCTGTAGATACGCCCAATGAAGGCCTGGCTGTAGATACAACCAATGAAGGCCTGGCTGTCAATACACCCAATGAAGGCCTGGCTGTCAATACACCCAATGAAGGCATGGCTGTCGATACACCCAATGAAGGCCTGGCTGTCGATCCACCCAATGAAGGCCTGGCTGTCGATCCACCCATTGAAGGCATGGCTGTCGATACAACCAATGAAGGCCTGGCTGTCAATTCACCCACTGAAGGCCTTGCTGTCCATACACCCAATGAAGGCCTGGCTGTCTATACACCCAATGAAGGCCTGGCTGTCGATACGCCCGATGAAGGCCTGGCTGTAGATCTACCCAATGAAGGCCTGGCTGTTGATACAACCAACGAAGGCATGGCTGTCGATCCACCCAATGAAGGCCTGGCTGTAGATCCACCCAATGAAGGCCTGGCTGTAGATACACCCAATGAAGGCCTGGCTGTCGATACACCCAATGAAGGCCTGGCTGTTGATCCGCCCAATGAAGTCCTGGCTGTAAATACACCCAATGAAGGCCTGGCTGTTGATACGCCCAATGAAGGCGTGGCTGTAGATACGCCCAATAAAGTCCTGGCTGTCGATACAACCAATGAAGGCCTGGCTGTCAATACACCCAATGAAGGCCTGGCTGTCAATACATCCAATGAAGGCCTGGCTGTCGATACACCCAATGAAGGCCTGGCTGTCGATCCACCCAATGAAGGCCTGGCTGTCGATCCACCCAATGAAGGCCTGGCTGTCGATACACCCAATGAAGTCCTGGCTGTCGATCCACCCAATGAAGGCCTGGCTGTTGATACAACCAATGAAGGCCTAGCTGTAGATCCACCCAATGAAGGCCTGGCTGTCGCCACAACCAATGAAGGCCTGGCTGTCGATACACCCAATGAAGACCTGGATGTCGATACTCCAAATGAAGGCCTGGCTGTCGATACACCCAATGAAGGCCTGGCTGTCGATCCACCCATTGAAGGCCTGGCTGTAGATCTACCCAATGAAGGCCTGGCTGTCGATCCACCCAATGAAGGCCTGGCTGTCGATCCACCCAATGAAGGCCTGGCTGTAGATACGCCCAATGAAGGCCTAGCTGTCGATACACCCAATGAAGGCCTGGCTGTCGATACAACCAATGAAGGCCTGGCTGTCGATACGCCCAATGAAGGCCTGGCTGTCGATCCATCAAATGAAGGCCTGGCTATCGATACACCCAATGAAGGCCTGGCTGTCAATCTATCCAATGAAGGCCTGGCTGTCGATCCACCCAATGAAGTCCTGGCTGTAGATACACCCAATTAAGGCCTGGCTGCCAATCTATCCAATGAAGGCCTGGCTGTCGATTCACCCAATGAAGGCCTGGCTGTAGATACACCCAATTAAGGCCTGGCTGTCGATACACCCAATGAAGGCCTGGCTGCCAATACACCCAATGAAGTCCTGGCTGTCGATACACCCAATGAAGGCTTGGCTGTCGATACAACCAATGAAGGCCTGGCGCTGTTGATCCACCCAATGAAGTCCTGGCTGTTGATCCACCCAATGAAGTCCTGGCAGTCAATATACCCAATGAAGGCCTGGTTGTAGATACGCCCAATGAAGGCCTGGCTGTTGATACAACCAATGAAGACCTGGCTGTCGATACACCCAAATAAGCCTGGCTGTCAATACTCCCAATGAAGGCCTGGCCGGTTGATCCACCCAATGAAGGCCTGGCTGTCAATACACCCAATGAAGGCCTGGCTGTCGATCCACCCAATGAAGGCCTGGCTGTCTATCCACCCAATGAAGGCCTGGCTGTCGATACTTCCAATGAAGTCCTGGCTGTCAATACACCCAATGAAGGCCCGGCTGTCGATACACCCAATGAAGGCCTGGCTGTCAATACACCCAATGAAGGCCTGGCTGTCGATACACCCAATGAAGGCCTGGCTGTCGATCCACCCATTGAAGGCCTGGCTGTAGATCTACCCAATGAAGGCCTGGCTGTCGATCCACCCAATGAAGGCCTGGCTGTCGATCCACCCAATGAAGGCCTGGCTGTAGATACGCCCAATGAAGGCCTAGCTGTCGATACACCCAATGAAGGCCTGGCTGTCGATACAACCAATGAAGGCCTGGCTGTCGATACGCCCAATGAAGGCCTGGCTGTCGATCCATCAAATGAAGGCCTGGCTATCGATACACCCAATGAAGGCCTGGCTGTCAATCTATCCAATGAAGGCCTGGCTGTCGATCCACCCTATGAAGTCCTGGCTGTAGATACACCCAATTAAGGCCTGGCTGTCAATCTATCCAATGAAGGCCTGGCTGTCGATTCACCCAATGAAGGCCTGGCTGTAGATACACCCAATTAAGGCCTGGCTGTCGATACACCCAATGAAGGCCTGGCTGCCAATACACCCAATGAAGTCCTGGCTGTCGATCCACCCAATGAAGGCCTGGCTGTAGATCCACCCAATGAAGGCCTGGCTGTCGATCCACCCAATGAAGTCCTGGCAGTCAATACACCCAATGAAGGCCTGGTTGTAGATCCACCCAATGAAGGCCTGGCTGTCGATACGCCCAATGAAGGCCTGGCTGTCGATACGCCCAATGAAGGCCTGGCTGTCGATACACCCAATGAAGGCCTAGCTGTAGATCTACCCAATGAAGGCCTGGCTGTAGATCTACCCAATGAAGGCCTGGCTGTTGATACACCCAATGAAGGCCTGGCTGTCGATCCACCCAATGAAGGCCTGGCTGTCGATACACCCAATGAAGTCCTGGCTGTCGATCCACCCAATGAAGGCCTGGCTGTCGATCCACCCAATGAAGGCCTAGCTGTAGATCCACCCAATGAAGGCCTGGCTGTCGCCACAACCAATGAAGGCCTGGCTGTCGATACACCCAATGAAGACCTGGATGTCGATACTCAAAATGAAGGCCTGGCTGTCGATACACCCAATGAAGGCTTGGCTGTCGATACAACCAATGAAGGCCTGGCGCTGTTGATCCACCCAATGAAGTCCTGGCTGTTGATCCACCCAATGAAGTCCTGGCAGTCAATATACCCAATGAAGGCCTGGTTGTAGATATGCCCAATGAAGGCCTGGCTGTTGATACAACCAATGAAGACCTGGCTGTCGATACACCCAAATAAGCCTGGCTGTCGATACTCCCAATGAAGGCCTGGCCGGTTGATCCACCCAATGAAGGCCTGGCTGTCAATACACCCAATGAAGGCCTGGCTGTCGATCCACCCAATGAAGGCCTGGCTGTCTATCCACCCAATGAAGGCCTGGCTGTCGATACTTCCAATGAAGTCCTGGCTGTCAATACACCCAATGAAGGCCCGGCTGTCGCTACACCCAATGAAGGCCTGGCTGGCAATACACCCAATAAAGGCCTGGCTGTAGATATGCCCAATGAAGGCCTGGCTGTCGATACACCCAATGAAGGCCTGGCTGTAGATACAACCAATGAAGGCCTGGCTGTAGATACACCCTATGAAGGCCTGGCTGTCGATACACCCAATGAAGGCCTGGCTGTCAATACACCCAATGAAGGCCTGGCTGTAGCTCCACCAAATGAAGTTCTGGCTGTCGATCCACCCAATGAAGTCCTGGCTGTCGATACGCCCAATGAAGGCCTGGCTGTCTATCCACCCAATGAAGGCCTGGCTGTCGATACTTCCAATGAAGTCCTGGCTGTCAATACACCCAATAAAGGCCTGGCTGTAGATACGCCCAATGAAGGCCTGGCTGTCGATACACCCAATGAAGGCCTAGCTGTAGATCCACCCAATGAAGGCCTGGCTGTCGCCACAACCAATGAAGGCCTGGCTGTCGATACACCCAATGAAGACCTGGATGTCGATACTCAAAATGAAGGCCTGGCTGTCGATACACCCAATGAAGGCTTGGCTGTCGATACAACCAATGAAGGCCTGGCGCTGTTGATCCACCCAATGAAGTCCTGGCTGTTGATCCACCCAATGAAGTCCTGGCAGTCAATATACCCAATGAAGGCCTGGTTGTAGATATGCCCAATGAAGGCCTGGCTGTTGATACAACCAATGAAGACCTGGCTGTCGATACACCCAAATAAGCCTGGCTGTCGATACTCCCAATGAAGGCCTGGCCGGTTGATCCACCCAATGAAGGCCTGGCTGTCAATACACCCAATGAAGGCCTGGCTGTCGATCCACCCAATGAAGGCCTGGCTGTCTATCCACCCAATGAAGGCCTGGCTGTCGATACTTCCAATGAAGTCCTGGCTGTCAATACACCCAATGAAGGCCCGGCTGTCGCTACACCCAATGAAGGCCTGGCTGGCAATACACCCAATAAAGGCCTGGCTGTAGATATGCCCAATGAAGGCCTGGCTGTCGATACACCCAATGAAGGCCTGGCTGTAGATACAACCAATGAAGGCCTGGCTGTAGATACACCCTATGAAGGCCTGGCTGTCGATACACCCAATGAAGGCCTGGCTGTCAATACACCCAATGAAGGCCTGGCTGTAGCTCCACCAAATGAAGTTCTGGCTGTCGATCCACCCAATGAAGTCCTGGCTGTCGATACGCCCAATGAAGGCCTGGCTGTCTATCCACCCAATGAAGGCCTGGCTGTCGATACTTCCAATGAAGTCCTGGCTGTCAATACACCCAATAAAGGCCTGGCTGTAGATACGCCCAATGAAGGCCTGGCTGTCGATACACCCAATGAAGGCCTGGCTGGCAATACACCCAATAAAGGCCTGGCTGTAGATACGCCCAATGAAGGCCTGGCTGTCGATACACCCAATGAAGGCATGGCTGTAGATACGCCCAATGAAGGCCTGGCTGTAGATACACCCAATGAAGGCCTGGCTGTCAATACACCCAATGAAGGCCTGGCTGTAGCTCCACAAAATGAAGTTCTGGCTGTCGATCCACCCAATGAAGTCCTGGCTGTCGATACGCCCAATGAAGGCCTGGCTGTCAATACACCCAATGAAGGCCTGGCTGTAGCTCCACCAAATGAAGTTCTGGCTGTCGATCCACCCAATGAAGTCCTGGCTGTCGATACGCCCAATGAAGGCCTGGCTGTCTATCCACCCAATGAAGGCCTGGCTGTCGATACTTCCAATGAAGTCCTGGCTGTCAATACACCCAATAAAGGCCTGGCTGTAGATACGCCCAATGAAGGCCCGGCTGTCAAAACACCCAATGAAGGCCTGGCTGGCAATACACCCAATAAAGGCCTGGCTGTAGATACGCCCAATGAAGGCCTGGCTGTCGATACACCCAATGAAGGCCTGGCTGTAGATACGCCCAATGAAGGCCTGGCTGTAGATACACCCTATGAAGGCCTGGCTGTCGATACACCCAATGAAGGCCTGGCTGTCAATACACCCAATGAAGGCCTGGCTGTAGCTCCACAAAATGAAGTTCTGGCTGTCGATCCACCCAATGAAGTCCTGGCTGTCGATACGCCCAATGAAGGCCTGGCTGCAAGTGCACCCAGTGACATACATCTTGGAATGGGATTGGTTGGGTTAGGGTTGTTTTATTTGTACATGTTGTTGGTGTATTTCATACTGTATCTCGTTACATTTGTAAATATAAAGCATTGACTGTAACTTATGCATTTTAGATACAACTTTGATTTTGTTTCTGTTAAGTTTTATTGCCAGAATCGAATAACTATGTTTGACCGAATATGGTGTATGAAGTCCCAATATGTAGTGTGCCAAACTGTAAGAACTCAGAAAAAAATCAGTTCATCAAGATCTTCTTCAAGTCAGACTAGGTCAGTTTGGTTTAAAACAGACTGGGCTAGGTTAGACACATAGACCTGGGATCATACAGGGTTAGGTTAGACTCATAGGTTTGGAAAAAGAAGCTTCATGCAAGACAACTTGGCTGTTGTTTGCCATCGTGTTCCCCAGGCTGAGGTCAGAGGGCCCGACCAGTTATCTCAGGTGCCACACTTGGATGTCTGACATCGTGTTCCCCAGGCTGAGGTCAGGCGCCCAGTTATCTGAGGTGCCACACTTGGCTGTCTGACATCGTGTTCCCCAGGTCAGAGGGCCTGATCAGTTCGGTTTGAATTCCAGATTGATGATGGTTATGATCCTTGGTTTGTCAGTACCAACCCATGCTCTTGACATGCCTTGATGTGACTGATATTCTGTTCACAAGGGCACTAAACTCAACTCTCTCCCTCAAGCAATGATGAATTTGCCATGGTACTGAGAGCAGGTCAGCTCCAGGCACCGGTTTGAAGTTTAGCTACTTTTTATGACAGTTTTTGAAAAGATTGTAAAGTGTGTTGTCTTTCATGTGATTGCCTTCAATACAGTGGGAAGTACAAGACTAGATGTAGTGATAGCAAGGATGAGAGACAACATTCCCTGGTGTTTCAGAGGGAAGTTTTATGCAGTTCTTGAGAAGCCTTTGGTTGTAGATTTTCCCAACATTTCTTCTTTTGTCAAATACATATGAAGATGTGTTCAATTCCAGTGTTGATTAATCATAATGTTATGTGCATTAGTATCTCCTGATACAATGAAGAATGGTGACAAGCATGACTCACAAGCACTTAGACAGGGTCATGTTTAGACATAATTTCTTATTATTTATAAACCTCAACTTCACTGTTGTAAACTTGCTGCAAGAGAAGTTTGTTGGATCATATGATTGCCAAAGCACAGAGAACACTGATGTAACTTATTAGACCTAGCCAGTCATTGTTGTCATAGTAACTTACAATCAAACTTGTTTTAATGATGTACAATATTTTTGTGAAATCATTTGTACAAGATGATGTTTTCCAGCATGCCAAATTACAAGTTAGGAGCCACTTGTCCTGGCGCCACTGGTGTCAGTGCCACATATGTATGTTAAGATAAGTAAAGAAGTGCCTCAGACCAATATTCATATTTCAGATTCATTGTTTCAACACAATGGTATATTTTTCTTTAAATGTGTATCCATTCAGGATCCAGTTGTTAGGGTATTCCAAAGAATCTGTTACCATGGTAATCAGCAGAATCAGTTACTATCTTACTTTGGGCTATGTTGAATCTGTTGTCATGATGTATGCAGACGATTTTCACATACTTGAAGCAGATTTGATCAGTGCTTGTTGTGCCAGTGCTTCGCTCAATGCCGGGTATGGCCAGCCAGGGATGGTGAGGCTATGCAAGACTTGCCCTTCCAGCTTATTGGACATGTGTTACTGTAGTTAATGTAGGGTGAAGACCAAGGTGTTGACTGTATCCATGATACATAGGGGACCTGCTGCTTTTGTATGTGTGTTGGGATCATATTGACATGAACACTGGTCATGTTGACATGATGGTCATATTGATGTGATGGTCATATTGATGTGATGGTCATGTAGACATGATAGACATATTGATGTGATGGTCATGTTGATGTGATGGTCATGTAGACGTGATGGTCATGTAGACATGATGGACATATTGATGTGATAGTCATATTGATGTGATGGTCATATTGATGTGATGGTCATGTTGATGTGATGGTCATGTAGACATGAACACTGGTCATATTGAAGTGATGGTCATATTGACTTGATTGTCATGTTGATGTGATGGTCATATTGATGTGATAGTCATTTAGACATAATTGTCATATTGATGTGATGGTCATGTAGACATGAACACTGGTCATATTGACGTGATGGTCTTTGTTACATGATGGTCATATTGATGTGATGGTCATGTTGATGTGATGGTCTTGTTGACGTGATGGTCATATTGACGTGATGGTCATGTTGATGTGATGGTCATATTGACGTGATGGTCATATTGACGTGATGGTCTTCTTGACGTGATAGTCATTTAGACCTGATGGTCATGTTGATGTGATGGTCTTGTTGACGTGATGGTCATATTGACGTGATGGTCTTCTTGATGTGATGGTCATATTGACGTGATGGTCATATTCACGTGATAGTCATATTGACGTGATGGTCATATTGACGTGATGGTCATGTTGACGTGATGGTCATATTGATGTGATGGTCATGTAGACATGAACACTGGTCATATTGATGTTATGGTCATATAGACATGATGGTCATATTGATGTGATACTCATGTTGATGTGATAGTCATGTTGACGTGATGGTCATATTGATGTGATGGTCTCACTGATATATGGTAATAGTCACATGGACAGTCCTTTTCAACATGGTGGTATTAATATGCAGGTCGTATTGACATGGGTGGGGATTGAGATGTCATTGTTGTGCTCACTATGGAGTTAATGGCACCTGTTCCTCTGCTGGATGTGCTGTCTGAACTGGGCAGATGAACGCCTTGAGTTGTCTCTGTCAGACACGAGAACATCTGGTGTCTCTGTCAAAAATTTGAACTTTGCATGTGTCTGCATCAGACATAACACCTGGTGTCTGCATCAGACATAACACCTGGTGTCTGCATCAGACAGATGAACACCTGGTGGGACTCCAGAAGCATCAGTCAAACTAGTAGAACATCTTTGTATCCTTGTAGAACATCAAACAATAGTATATTTCAACTGGAATAGAGGTGTGTTCATCTCGCCTCTCAATGAATAAAGTTGATTTTGCAAATTATATCTCTTATTTGTTGGAATTAGGGAGACAATACAAATGTTAGAATTCACAATCAGAACTTTGACGACAGAAGGCTAAGGCATGTAATGAATGGTGAGACTATGGACTTGGGTCATAGCACCTACATACAGTTGTAATGAGTTAGAATCATGTAGTTACTGTAAACACATGTGTCAAACCTCTACATATAGATATGATTGGGATTATGGTAACTGAGTGCATTTATCCCCTTCATATGGCTCTAGTATAAGAGGTTATATGATAACTGAACATGCATTGAACATGTAGATATATACTCAACAACAAAAGTTCCCGTGACACCAATATTTTAGTAAAGTTTGGTTTTCAATATTGTAGTACATGTATGGAATCAAGTCACAAAAACGCAACTGCTACAGAAAAACATTCCATCCACAAGTTGACTTTTATGCAAGCCCCATGCATTTCACTACCGAAGAATGGGTATAAAACGTGCGTTAACGGGATTCCATATGCTCGTTTAGGCACGCTCACCTCCATCCAAGATCGGACCTACAGGGGCAGGCTGCAGTTACGACCCCTGCAAAACTGGATGAACACCACCAATCCTAGAGCGAGAAACACTAATTCAATCTCCGCCAGTTCGAATCTCAGAACTAAATTGATGGCTAACTCGTCAGAACGTCATGCCCGGTATTCTACTCTCATATCCACCCCCTCTCTACATCAACTCTACACAGACACGTCAGGAGAGTTTGGGGTGCCCATGTGGTCGATATTACAGTACAGGGAAATGGTCCACCCAAGAAAAGGAGTTATACATCAACTGCCTAGAAATGAGAGCGATATATCTAGCTCTAGAGGCATGACTAGATCGTCTGTACCACTCGTCAGTAAGATTGCTACAGACAACTGACCGTGGTTGCTTACATACAGCACCAGGGGAGCACAAGGTATCAGCCTTTGTTGTAGGAGGCTACACGTTTATTTGCCTTGATAGACTCAGTGAGTTGCAAGATCGAAGCAAGACGCAAACCGAGCAAGGTGAATATCCTAGCAGATTACCTATCCCGGGAAAAACAAGATCGTACCCACGGAATGGTCACTACATCTCGAGATATTCAAGTGGATAATCTCCCTATAGAATACTCCAAAGCTAGACCTATTCGCCACATATCTCAACAACAAAATGGAACGGCGGGTAACCTGGTGGTTTAAAGCGTTCCCTCGTCACGCCCAAGAACCGGGTTCGTCTCCCGACATGGGTACAATGTATGAAACCCATTTCTGATGTCCTCTGATGTTGGAATATTGCTAAGAGATGCGTAAAATCAAACTCACTCACTCAACAACAAACTACCAGTCTTCGTCAGCCCTGTACCAGACACGCTAGCTCTCCAGGTCGACGCTTTTCTATGGACTGGGAGGAATGTTCGCTTACGCATTCCCCCCCCCCCCCCTGGATTCTTCTAGACAGGGTTCTGAAGCAAATAGAAGACACAGACTGCGTCATAATTCTAATAGCCCCGATATGGCCCCGACGTCACAATTTAATGAGACAACCGAAATGGGACATCTTTTACGGCCGCCTCGACAATCTCCACCTCCACGCTTGAAAATTATCTCTAATAAAATGCAAACCGCCGGTTACTCTAATCGGCTGCACAAAGAGTGGCAAGCTCATGGAGACCAGCATAGTTCGTCGAGTGGAGAATAATAATTATTTAGACGTGGAGATAACGATACCTATAGTTGCGGAATTCTTGTCCTATCTCAGAAACGACAAGAAATTTCAACATGGCATTATCGAAGGCTATAGATCCGCCCTGGCATCAGTATTACAACACGATGGCCTATCTATAGGTACACACCCAGTACTGAATCGACTCAAGAAGTCTTTTGCACTGGAAGACATTAAAACACCACGTATATTTCCAAAATGGGATATATCTATAGTATTGTCAGCATTGATGAAACCACCTTATGAGCCCATGAGTAGTGCGACATTACTATAAGTTTCCAGGAAAACCGTCTTTCGCTCCTAGCCATGGCTACTGCGGCTCGTGTATCAGAATTACATGCTATCTGACATGTCCACCGTAACTCATACCCAAATATTGAAATCAGTGTGGTTCAGATCACTTCCGGATCATATTGCCAAAAACCAGTCATCGACTTTCGGCCCACTTGGAGCCAGGCAATATACGATACCAGCCGTAAGTAAAAGTGTGGACTATCCGGACAGATTACTTTGTCCCATAAGAGCCTTGAGATACCTCATTACAGATACTGAACCCCACAGAAAGCAGAGAAAACGCCTTTCTATCTCTTGCAAGCCCTCGTCAGAAAAGGACATAAGCAAAGGTACAAAGGGAGGTGAAGATTTCAGAATACCTCATGAACTCAGGGTAAGCTGACCTTTGTACTTAGTTTGCTATTGGATAGTAGACAAGTCAAGTGGCAACACTGAACTCATAGATCGAAAGGATACAAGTGATATACGGTTTCTACATGATAATCTAGGATGTATGATGTACTACCACCGGAAGTGACGTCATGGGAGACCTCACGTTCGGACTAACGTCAAAATACGTTAAATATCACTATCCAAAATGGCATAACGGAAACTACGTCATAAGGTGATATGAAATCATAGACGACATATATCGCAAACGAGGTCATTAATGACAACCGGAAGTGACGTCACTGGTGATGTCATCACCGGAAGCGATATCACAATTGTGGTAAATATATGTATATTATATTCATAATATGACGTTTTCTCTATGTCCAGCCTTGAAATTAGGTTATAAGACATATACCGTTTGGTCCCTTTTGTATACAATGCTTGTATTCCCACTTCACAAAAGCCAAATATCTAATGGATGCTAGATACCAGATCCCACCGGTCCCTCTCGTGTATACTGGCTATGATGTAATAGAGGTAGGGTATTCACAAGAATTATCTAACAATAGTTATCATTGTGTATAATTCTAAGAATACTACCTCTATTACATCAGGAATTAATCCCTCCCACCTCCCCAAATATCTGCATCTAGTTGATGAGGGTCATGGGTTGAAAGAAGTGAGGTGATTCCCACCTTGCGCATGCGCAGTGGCGTCTCTGACGAGGGATAGGTTTTCCCTCACAACTATTAGATATGTTGGCACTGAAGAGGACGTCTGTTGAAAATCTTTTTAAATTTGTGGTGTGGTTCTCAGCATAAACAGGAATTTATGGCTATGAAGTAATAGAGGTAGTATTCTTAGAATTATACACAATGATAACTATTGTTAGATGTTGCAAGACAACTTAACGTCCACAGAAACACCATTTGATGTTTATGGCATCGTTGGCAACAGACGAATGCAGTCAGAGACCATTCTTGAGTGGCATGCCACGCGTAAACAATAATCGACAAGACAACTGGATTCGAACAACACACCTACGAAATCTATTCCAGCCAGCAACAGTGACTGCAAGAAGCATCCCTCGCCTTCGACGAATATCTTCACAAACCGTACGTCGTCGCCTCAGATGTGCAGGGATTGTCGCCAGAAGACCCGCCAGACGTCCCATTTTGACAGGAAACCACCGTCAAGCACTCTTACAGTGGTGCAGACAGCGTCTACGCTGGACGGCCATGCAGTGGGAACAAGTTCTATTCACTGACGAGTCTCGTTTTCACCTCAGCCACAGCGATTGACGGATTCGAGTGTACCGACGTCGAGGTGAACGTTACGTCAATCATTGTGTCATGGAAGAAGATCGGTTCGGGGGCGGCAACGTTATGGTATGGGTTGGGATTACTGCCAGGCAGAGTAACTGTTTGATAGTGGTAGAGGGAAAACTCAATGGTCAGCGCTACCGCGACGAGATCATCGACCCTGTTGTTCTACCGTTTTTGCGTCGTCATGGCCCAGGCATTACCTTTCAACATGACAACGCCCGGCCTCATATTGCTCGACTTGTTCAGGATACCCTTCAACAAAACAACGTGAATGTCATCCCCTGGCCGGCTCGCTCCCCTGATCTCTCACCAATCGAGTACATGTGGGATGAGATGGATCGGCGCTCTTCACAGACACTCCAGGAACTTCGAGACATGCTCCAGCAGATATGGACAGATATCCCACAGGACTTTGCGCGACGCCTGGTCCATTCCAGTAGACGAAGATGTGTTGCTTGCATCGCAACCAGAGGTGGACATACACGCTATTGATTTGTAAATTGACATTTTGGCATGTTCGTGTTATTTTTATAAAATCACGCATTTTCTGAAGTCAGTATGGCAAATCAAACCATTTGAACACTTACAGGAGTCTTTTATCTGTTGCAAACCGAAATTGTTTCAGATTTGGTAGAAAACATAACTTTGCATTAAATCTTATTCAATGTCAAAGGAACTTGTGTTGTTCAGTATAGTATAAGAAACATGATAACTGAACACGCATTGAACTTGTACATATAGTATAAGAAGAAACATAACTGAACACGCATTGAACATGTAGATATAGTATAAGAAGAAACATCCCTCAACTAACGTCTTACATTCAGTGTATGTTAACGCATTAGATGAATGCATTGACATGTATGATACTTTAAGTGCCAAAGGTGACACTGTCATATTAGGTGATTTACATCGTCTTGGTGCAGGGATTGGTCTGGGCGGAACTTCCGGTCTTGAGATGGTGCCAATGGGTAGAAGATGGTTCCGGTGTAAAGTTCTTTTCCTTCCTTCTGAGTTCTCCTTCTGGACCACAAACACTGGAATGGCAGGATTTGGTTGCCTGAGAACCACGTACACATCTTCTTCCCAACGATCTGCAAGTTTATGCTTCCCATCAAAAGCCAAGGTCTTAACTAGGACTCTGTCTCCTACATCCAAAGTGGCTCCTCTTACTTTCATGTCGTAGTCGGCCTTTTGATGATCTTTTGATGTCTTAGATGCTTCAGCAGCTCGTTGGTAGGCTTGTCGGAGACGTTCCTTCAGCGACTTAGTATATTGAAATAAAGACT